TAATTGACCCAAAAGTGTGGACTGAGAAATATAAGGTGCTGATTTTTTGCCACAACTGCAAATAACTTGCCAAATCAAGACTTTTTTAGAAAACTTGTCCTGTTTTATGTATTTAAATTTCTTATCTGCTTTTCCTCTACATTTGGCAATATAATAGACAGCACCAGGAATTTGCTTATGATCGTACTTGATATAAGTTTCGTCGTCTTCAATAATACAGAAATTTTAAAAAATAAAATTGTCATACAACTTTCTGCAGTGGGTTTTTGCACTTTTTTGTTGAGTTTTAGATCAGTTGGGCACTTTTTGTGCTTTGAAAGAATGAAAACCATGTTTATTTCGAACTTTTACAACAAAGCTATGAGAAAATCCATAAATGTTTGCCCGCTCCCTTAGTGAGAGACTTGGGTTTGTCTTAAAACTGTTAACCAGTTTTCTAACTAGTTTTTTATCATTAAAGCCCTTCTTTCTTCCACCACCAGGTTTATGTTTGATCGATTTTGTTTGAGAAAAATGTTGGGTTACACGACTAATGATGTGTGGATGTATTTGCAATGCTTTTGCTATCAAATTGTAGCTACTATTGGGATTTTCCAAATATTTGTACATAGTTTTTTCTCTTATGTCTTCTTCTTTTGTTATTTTTAAAACTAATTTTAAGTTAAATCAAAAAAAAAGATTTTTTTGAAACCACAACACGTTGTAAACAATACAAAACAATTAAAAAGATTTTAATATAACCACTGAAAAAAAAAATGATGTACTTATTCTTTCACATTTATTTCGTGCACACACTTTATTAAAATAAGTATAAACTAACTCAGTAAGATTTTTTTTAATAACTTTTTTAGTTAGGTTTGGAATTAATATCTTTAAAACTTTGATCTTTTAATGTTTTTATAATATTAAATGATATGCTTTTATATAAGGTTTAACTTCTAATGAATTTTTGATAAACACATTTTATTTTATTCATTAAAAAGTATTATATATAATATATTTTAGCTACGTTTGTAATAAATAACTTTGAAACTTTAATCTATAATGTTTTTAAAATATTATGGGATACATTTTTATATGAAGAACAACTTATTCCAACGGTTTTTTAATAAATAAACACATTTTAATGCTCAAAAAGTTTTATATATAATATTTTTCATAAATGATTTATTTTTATTTATTATAAAGTTCTTATCGGAATTATTAGAATTGGATTACTAAACAATTTATTTTTATATTTATTTTTATTTTTAATATTTGCATTTTAAAAAGTTTTGTTTTTTCAACTGTTTAACTTTAATGATTCTTCAAAAAGTTCAATGAAAACAAACTTGTTTATACTTGTAAATTAAAATAAAACTTGTTCTAAATAATAAAAATTTATCATAAAAAATAAAAAGATAATTTATAAAAAAAATAATTTGTCAAAAAAAAAAATACATAAAAAAATTAAAAAGTATATACTTTTCAAATAAAAAATAATTATACATAAAGTACTTCAATAATTTGAATAAAATATTTTTAATGTAAATAATTGTTAAAAGTAATTTATAATTTTATTTAAAGCATTCCACATAATATTAATATAAAACATTTTTCATTAGAAAAGATAAAAGTTTAAAAGTTTATATAGTTCTGCACTTTTTTGAAATATTTTAAAACATGTTAAAAGCCATGAGCTAGTTGTAGAAAAAGTGTATATGCGGTCAGGAATAACGTGCAATCACACGTCGCTTCTGTAAGACTGATGTATATATATTAGGGTACGTCATTTTTCAACAATTTTTCAAATTAAATCCCAACCACCTGAGTTAGTTGACCAATTGGATATAAATGATTTTATGCTGAAAAAATTTTTTTCAAACCCAATTTTGAAGGTTCTTGCTTTTACAATTTGTGCCGTGAAACCCCTGTTAGGGAAAAAGCATTTGTAAAACTTATGGTCCTGAAAATCTGATGTTCAAAGTTTTCCAAGCTAATTGAAACGCAACAATGGAAACTATGGATAAATCAAAGTTTAACATGTTCGACAAAATTTCAGGTAAAGAAATGTATCTAGAAAAACAGATTGAAGAAGCTGTTCAGTTTTGCAAATATGCACTTACTGATTGAGTATTTCCAAGTGATTACAAAGAACTAGTAGAACTTAGATCCCCCTATTTATCTCTAGATGTAAGTTTTAATGTTAATGCTCTGGGATAAGTTTCCCATGCATGTTTTATAGCAAAGTCTATATATTGTCTTAAAATTCAAGTTTTAAGTAATCAAAATGCGTTTCAAAATTTTTTTTCAGCGTAAAATCGTTTTTATCCAACTGGTCAACTAACCCAGCTGGTAAGGATTTAATTTGAAAAAATTGCTGAAAAATGGCATACCCTAATATATCTTTGCATATGTGTGTGTGTGTTTATATATATATATATATATATATATATATATATATATATATTATATATATATATATATATATATATATATATATATATATATATATATATAT